ATAAAATCTACTTGACTATTTTTTCTTTTTAATTTTTCTTTTGTTTTCATTTAGCTCATCTCTTTTGTGGATGAAGAAGTATGACATTTTAAAATACCACGCTCGCTACCTTTCCTGTTGTACTTTCTTCCGCTGCTTGTATGCATAAGATGTCCTCTTCCTCTTCAGACTCGTGGTCAATATTCATTCACATTCACATCCACCGTCCACCACCTACAGACAATGGATGGGCTGAGCATTACCTACCCTCTTACAACTATGTTTTGAACAAAAGAATTAAGCGCATTAACAGTATGCCGCATAGAATTTTCAGTGTCCCTTTAACCCCCAAAAGCTGACAGGCTTTCTTCTGCATCTTCATAGGACAGCCTGGGTCAGCACCGACGGGCAGTAGGAGGGACACGTTCTGCCACAGACCCCACTGGGAAGCCTTCTTCCTACAGGAGAAATGGTTCCTCCTGCAGGGACTCTGCTCACTCATGCTCAGCTCAGCTTCAGCTCCATGTAGTGTAGCAGGGACCTGAAATCTGAAACCTTGAGAACCTCTACTTACAATTTTTGAACTCAGGATTTTCCCTTCCTGGAGCTGGGTACTTTGCAGCAGCTTCGGGGTAAGGGCTTGTATTCTACTGCTCCGCATGGTTGGCTTTGTGTCTTAAGGGTGGGACAGGGGTCTGCTCCCTGAGAATTATTTCCAACAAGAAAAAATGCCATCTTCTGCCAGCGAGCACAGCAGTGCTGCTGGGAGCCTGCAATCTGTTTTGGGATTGGAGGCCCTGATTTCAGGGCCATAGTAAATGACAGTGGTGAAGGCCAGGAGCCTGCTTCAAGGGGTGAAGCCCAAGTATTAAGGCTGAACCCAAGAGTCCAAGATCTTAGGCTGGAATTTTTTTAGAACGCCAGCTTTAAAGAAGTCTAAGGTTCTGTTTATGATTTTGTTTGTCAAGAACTTGATCCATTTATTTTTCCTCTTAAATCTGGAAGGAGCCACCACCACTGCTCCTCACCACCAGTGGCCACCAGGGGGAGTGCTGTGTGCTGCTTCCTTTCTTTCGCTTGTGTCAACCTCAAAGTGCCAACTTTCTCCTTTGGTCTCTCTGTGGACGTTGGAGAGGCTGGGCAGACAGCAGGGGCCTTTCCGGCCAGGCTTTGCAGGTCTGGGGTGAGGGGGAATAGTGTACCTCCATCACATCAAACGATTTCTTGCCTTCATTGGCAGTGCTCCCTAGTTAACCCTTCAGCCCTATTTTTCAGGGACGTGGAGAACACAACATTTAAAAATAGATTTTTCTAATATTCTAGGACATCAAATGCCTTTTCACAAAATATCTCCCCCCAGGATCTGGTATTTCCAATGGAAAGCAATTTTGCCTGCGTGCCAGGTTTGCATGCGAGCAAGCTGACCTGACCAGCGCCCTGGAGACTGTGGCAGCCCCCCGGGAGCCTAGACAGGTGTCGCCTGCAGTCTGGGATGCGGATAAAGGCACAGCGCTTTGTGCCGTTTGCAGGGAGATGGCTTTCCCGCAGGGATTCCCAGACCTGCTGAAGAGAGACATCAGGGGCAGCGCGCTGCAATCCACAGCAGGATGAAGAACTCCGGGAGGTTTCAATGTGGGGTCCCAAGTGCCCCCGGCTCCGAGAGCGTCTGAGGGCTGTGTAGGGTTCTGTGAGGCTGCGAAGGAGAGTCGACCTGCCTCACCCCTGTCTCACGCTGGCCTCTTGCTGTGCTGGGGAGGCGCGCGTCACAGTGCACTTCATGGGCGTGGGCACCAACATTGGTCGCTCCTGTAACATCGCGTATATTTAAAGCCGTGCGCCTCCTGTGAGTAAGGGGAAAGCCTTAGAGATACATGGGAACAAGGGTCAGTTACTAAGTGGTATTCATTTGCAGAATCATCCCATTGCCTCACGGGAAGATTGACTCACCTTGGGCCCCCTCAGTGTCTGTGGCTGATCTGCCCAGACAGGGACTTGTCTTTTTTTCTTTTTTGGCAAAGTTTATTTAAGAAAGCAAAATTGAAGAGTAGGGGAGAAGCTGGCTCTGCAGAGGGATTGGAAAGGAGAAAAGGAGAGTGGGAGCAAAGATTAAAGCACTCGCTGTGTCTGGGAAACGCAGGTGGGCTGTCACGGAAAGTCACGATAGCCTGGACAGAGACTCAAGAACTCCCGTGCTCTCTGAAGCAGAAGAGTCGCACAGATGTTCCAGAGCCACTGGTTAGATTTGTGTCTTGTTTGTGCCATGAGATCTGGTAACGAGCCTCAGATACACATTTCAGTCAGTGGTGAGAGTTTGGGTGACTGTTATCTATTCCTGAACACGAAGAACGCTTAGGTTGCCTGCTGCAGCCTGGAGACATGGAATTATTTGCTCCCTTCCTCTCCAAGCCAACAGCCTCTGTAGCCAGGTGTGGTGCCACACATCTCTAATCCCAGCATTCGGGAGGCTGAGGCAGGAGGATCACCACTCGTTGCAAGCCAGGCTGGGCTACGTAGTGAGTTCAAACTAGCAAAAAAAGAAAGCAGCCTCTGTGCTGAGTTTTCATTGTTCATATTTTCTCTGTCAGTACCGGCCTGTCAACTACTGCTTTTGTGTGGTGTGACATGTGTGTGCGTGCGTGCACGTGGGCATACATGTGCACTATGGGGGACTGGCCTCGCATACTCTGGTCGGCAGTGCATCACTGAGCTGCAGCCCACTCCTCTGTCCGAGTTCCTTTCTCGTCGGAGACACAATGCCTGACACCCAGAACTGTGAGCAGGAGAGGCCTGTGCTGGCTCGAAGTCTGTAGAGGTTTCAGAGGAGCAGAGGAGATGGGAAGCAGGGGAGATCAAAGGGGGAGAGGGACATGCAGCCCTTCAGGCCACACCCCTGGTGACCCCCAGCCCCACTTGGCTTCACCTGCTAGTGGACTAATGCTGAGTACCACTCCCCCATGACCCAGGCCCCAGCCAGACGCCCACTGAGGAGTGCATGAGGCTTCGGGGGACGTCAGATACAAACCACAGCCCCCTCTTAGCTTTTCTGAACCAAGCGATACCACCTAACACTTTTCAGGCTTGAAGACAGCAATCCTGGGGAGTGTCTATACCACGCTGGAAATAGGAGGACTCAGACTTTCAGGCAGCCAAACCGGCTTTTCCTCCCAGGCAGTGGCTGGTCTTTAGTCAGGGTGGGTTGGCTTCCTGCGGGTGTAGCCTTCCGGGGCCTTTGCCCTTTCTCGTCACGTGGGCTGTGCTCCCGGGCAGCGGGGCCAGCTTGTCTCTCCTCATGCTCTGCCGCAGTCTCCGGGACAGGCGTGGACATCACCACCACTCAGCAGACGAGCAGACGGAGGCTTACAGCAGGGGACGCAGGCTGCCCTGGGCTTCACTGGAGTCAGAGCTCACAGAGAAACAGGCTGCTGGCCTCACTGCTCCCTGCAGGCCACGACCACGGAGCCCTCTGCCACTGCCTTTCCTACCCGGAGCCGCATTCACAGCCTGACTCTCACTCTGTCCCTCACTAGAGCCCAGCATCTCAGACAGGCTCACCAGGCTAATGCACAGGGGAGAGCATCTGGCTGGCTCTGGGTCGGAGGCCAGAGCGAGTAGTGTGCTTGATTTAACTAGGAAACTGCCACCATTCTTTCCTTCCTGGGAAGCCTGGCCCAGCAATAACCTCTGCCAAGTACTTTGGCTTTTTAAAAAATTTTCAGACCTTTCTTTCGGCCGTCTTTGGCTGTCTGTGTGCTGAGACTTCATCAGTTTCTGAGCTAAATCCCCGGCTCTGTTTTCTTTAACGTCCACTGAAATGGGTTGATTTGTCCCAATCGAGAAAGGGAAATTTTATTTTAACGTAAAAAGTTGAGAATGTTGAGTGGGCAACAAATGCGAAGTTCAAAGAACTCACAGAAGGAAGCACAACAAAGACAGCTGGGATCGGAGGGAGCTCGCCGGGACACAGCCCTGCCCTGGAGATCCAAGCATCCCCTTTACTGTAGGAGAGAGTGCGCCGAGCAGTGGGGCCCACAGCACAGCAACCGGGCTCCCAGTGCGGGCCTGTGTCAGCTTGAGGCTCCTCGCCCCAGGAAGGGGCAGCGCTGGCCTGAGGCAGGGCCTCCTGCTCCGTCCATGCTGACCACGCCGAGGGAGGCACCTGGCAGAGTCGTCGGGACAGAAATTCTCCAGTCATGTTGAAGGGAGGGGAGACAGAACATGCGCATCAAGTGCAGGGAGTGTGCCCCGAAAGCAGGTGGCAGAAACTTCAGGGAAGGGGGAGGTTTAGAAGTCTGCTGAAAACAGGACAAACCAAAGGCTTCACTCTCCCGTTTGGGAGTTAGTCTAGTATCTGCACTTCGTGTCTCTGGATACGTCTCAGGTATGTGCATTAACTTGCTTTTCTCCTGTTTGCATTTCTAGATCCTTGGCTATCAGAACACCACCTTCTTCGGCGGAGACCACATAACCATGATCGATGACCTCTTCTGGCCCTGGTTCGAGCGGCTGGATGTGTACGGGATCGCAGAGTACGTTGGAAATGCACGGAGAGACGGTGACTAAAATGGTTTGTGTGTCACTAGCCACTGAGGACACATCTCAGGGTGTATGTGGAACAACAAGGAAACCAGGTGTTGAAGCCACCGACCCGTGCTGTCTGCTCAAGATGCCCTGGGCTCTTCTCTCACTGAGCACAGACTCCCTGGGGCCTGCGCTCCTGTGGACCAGGCCTGGGTACCACGGCTCCCAGAGCTTCGCAGCTGCATCCTCCCTGGCCCACACACATGCAGGCGGGCTTGCAGGCCCACGTGGGTGCCTTGGGGAGCTCTCTCTGGCCCTACACCTGGCCCTGCTGTGTCACTCAACAGATACGACTCCAAGTCCAGCTCACTCTCTTGGGGCATCTTCTCCCAGAACGCCCTTAAGAAAAGATTTTCAAAGTAATACATCTTGATGTTTGAATGTACAAACAAAGTGGCAGCCACACACCACAGAAGGGTCAGGACAGTTAAAGCGGATGAAGTGGCTGTGTAGGGTCCTGGGCAGATGTCTTAGTGACTTCTCTCACTGCTGAGACAAAACACTGCAAGACACCTGCAAGTTAAAGGAGGAAAGGCTTCTTTGGGCTGGCGGTCCTGTAGGGGTTTGGGTCCTTAATTGGCTGGTTCCCAGGCAGGGCGGGTGGCAGAGAAGTACCTTCATGGCCCGGTGAAGGTGACAAGGAGCAGAGAGGAGCCAGGAGGGGAGGACAGTGCTGCGTCACGGTGAGCCACCTCTTGGACCAGGCTTCCCTCCTAGCCTCACAGGAGCTTTGGACTCACGTGGACTAATCCACTGTGAGTGTCACACCCCCATGTCCAACCACGTCCCCAGAGCCCCGCCTATGAGTGCAGGAGGCTTTAGGGGACCTCTTGGTACAAACCAGCCCCGCAGGGCAGGAGCTTTGTTACCTCGGCTCAGAGGAGAGGTTGCAGCCTTGCTGAGCCTGCACTAATCCCAGCTGGCCGCACGGGGCTGCTGCACATTCCTGGTGTGTGGAAGTCGGCCCTGCAGCTCGTATAGAATATTCGTGGGGATTTAACTCCCAGACGTGTCATTTTCAGGAGCCTGTCTCCTCCAAAGGCGGAGCACCGAGACAGGTCAGATGGCGGGGCTTGGCAGGCTGCTGAGTAGGCCCCGGGCCCATCTCCCTTGGAAAAGCCCCCTCAGCCCCATTATTTCAAGGTGTCCTGACTTTCATCCACTAAAATACATTTTGGAAACTACTTCTCTTTGTCTTCTTCAAGCCCCTGAAGTAAAACCTGTGGATGGCCCTTTGCCGCCGGGGTTGTCTCTGCTGATCAGCAGTGAAGCAAGACACGGTATTTCCCCGGGGCCTCAGCCCACCGGTCTCTGCCTGCATGATTAGGAGTGCAACCTCTGCGCTCAGAACAGACAGCTGCTCCCAAATAGGCCTTTCCCGCTCTTAGTGATCATGACACTGTATTCTCAAACATGGCCATGGTTAGCTTGCCAGTCTGAAAGGCAAGGCCCGCCCCCTTGCCCAGAGCCTTCCGGTGGGTGGTGCTGCCCCTGCCCCCTGCCCCCTGTCTTCTGTCTTGCAGCTGTGTGGACTACACCCCAAAGCTGTAGCTCTGGATGGCAGCCATGAAGCAGGACCCCATGGTCTTCCTTCGTGCTGCTCATAGATAAGCAGATTTTCTTGGGCTTCTTGAATCTCTATTTCCAAAACAGCCCCAATGGCTTTGATTTTGGGCTCATTTGCTGAATCTCCTGGTCCCCACTCGGCCATCCAGGATTCCCAGCATGTTATGGTTCTGCCTGCATTAGGGATCGTCTTGGAATCAGTTCATCTCTGTTGCTTTTCTTTGAGGTTCTTAATAAAAACAAAAACAGAAACTGTGTTTTTTCTGGTAGTCATTTATTGTCAGATGCCTCCAGCCCCTGGGGTCTTGTTTGGAAACCCTCCTGTTCCTGCTCCTGCCTTTGGCCCAGTTTCACCTCCAGGTTACTGGAGACTGGGCTGGTGTGGGGCTCCAGTCCTGCCTAGCAGGGACATCTGCCACTCCAGATGGGCACTCACCAAAAACCTCCTGAGGAGACGAAGACCCTGGTCCTCCAGGAGAGTGAGTGACTGCGCTCTCCACGTGGGTGGGCAGGAGTGTCATTCCCAGCCAGACTTCGCCCAGGGCCTGGGAGACCCCGAGGGCCTTGTGGCTGGAAAGAATTCTAAAGCAGGAAATGAAACACCCATGCATCACCCGGGACTAACTACGTCAGAATTGCACTGGTACTGCCGGCGCTCAGGATATCTCACAAAACGTTCTGTGGCTGGCATCCTGCCTTTAAAGTCACACACCCCAAACCCGGTCCCAGGCACGGGCCCTCTGTTGGGTTTGCATCGCATGCTCTTGCATCCATCCCACAAAAGCCTGCGGGGCACTAAACCCAGGCCTTGTGGGGAGGGAGTTGACAAAGACGAGCCTTTCCCCACGGGAGCCTCTTGGCCTTTCCCCGCTCTGGTTGAGAGCTGCGTGTCTGGTGACTTCCTGGCTGGCTCTGATGTGGCCCCTCGGTGAGCCTGACCAGTAGCACGGGACCCTGAAGACAGCAAGGAAGACAAGGGGAGCAGAGCAAGGTCGGCCTGTGCATGGCAGCTTCCCCGGCCTCCCCCAAGGAGGGGACCAGGCTGCTGCTGCTGTCAAACCTCAGTGTCTTGTGATTGGCCGTGACCACTCTGACTTTGCTCACCCTGAATTCTCCCGGCCCCTCAGCTTTGCTGAGACCAGGCAGCAGCATGCACGGTGTTTTGCCTGTCCATGCGCAGAGGGCTGCCCTGCCCCATCTCAGACAAAGCTTTCCCAGCCTCCTTTCTCCGTCTCCACCAGGCCCTCCTGGCTGCTGGCTCCTCCGTGTTGTGCCGAGTAAACAGTTCCCAGGTGCTACTCCCTGCCAGCTGGACAGAAATGCGTCTGCGTGGTGAAGCTGGGCCGTCTGCAGTGCCATCTGCTCCGGATGTGGAGTCCCGTTGCCATGGTACCCAAACTGATGCGGGGTAAGTGTGTGAATCAGAGTCCGGGGATCCGAGGAGGGAAGAGAGGGCCATCTCTGATGCCTGTCCTAGGGCTTAACTTTACAGCCATAAAACCTGTGTGCTAGCGAGTGTTTGGTGCAGGACCCAAACCCCTGCGATGCCACAGAAAAAGGCGTCCCTGGGTCCCCAGATAAAAGCATTCTCTTGGGCTCCTCGTACTTCTTTAGACATAAGAATGGAGGGGAGGGAGGGTGGAGAAAAGTGCTGGTGGAAAAAGTGCAGGCTGCTGGTCCAGGGCCTGGTGGGGTCCAAATGCCACGTGGGTGGGTATGGTATCCACAGGCTGCCGGGGTCCTGGTCGCTTGCACTGCTGTTCCCTCCCCGCTTTGCCTTTTGTGTTTGGTACTGGTTATTGAGCCCAGGGCCTTTGCACTGAGCTATATTCCCAGCCCTTTTTTATTTTATTTTACTTACTTATTTTGCTGTACTGGGGATCGAACTCAGGACTTTGGGATTGTGAGGCAGGCATGGTGCCACTGAGCTGAATCCCCAGCCCATATTTTTAATTTTTAGACAGAATCTCACGAAGTCACTAAGTTGTACAGGCTGGGCTTGGATTTATGATCCTCCTGCTTCAGCCTCCCAGGATGCTGGGATTGCAGATGTACATCACCCCGCCCAGCTCTCCTCTCTACAGAGGAAACTGAGTCACCGATTTCTGGATGAAACTAGAACTTAGCCCATGGGAAAGAGAAGCGACTGAATAACGCTCAATGAGGAGCTTGCATTGGGAGACTGGGGGCAGAAATAATACCATAGGTTAAAAAATACACAAATATACAAATAGGAAATCTGCTCTGATCTGTGTCTCAGAGATGACCACTTTTAACACCGGGTGTTATCTTGTAAGATGCCTTTCAAAGCTCAGGGTTGAGGGCAGGAGCTGCATCTCCTGCAGACCGGAAGAGGAGAGAGTGCCGGTGTGGACCATGTCAGCAGCAGAGTCAGCTGCGGCTGCCCTGCCTCCGAAGCTCTGAGCTGGAGCCCAGCTGGCCCAGTCCGGTTCCGTCCAGCGGAGGAGGGCGTCCCTGGCGCCTGGGTGTTTTGGAAACTCCTTCTGGCACTCGCATTCCCTGACCCCAGATGACAGAAGTGGCTCTGACAGCTGCAGGGCACTTGACATACATTGTGGGTCACAGGCGAGAGCTCCCCTTCCGTGCTGCGGGGCTGCCTGCCCGGGGCTGGCTTGGGAGTGGTCTCTCCCCTGATTTCTCACCTTCAGCCCTGTCCTTCGCCAGAGTCACAGCCTCCTTGATGGAGGGAACTGGGCTGCTGGGTGGTGAGAGCCAGGCTCCCCTCCCCTGAGGCCAGACCAGCCTGCTTTGGTTTGTGATTGGAATTCTGATTGACCCCAGGGCCATGGTGCTGAGGTATGTATGCCCCAGCCATTTACTTCTGTTGCTGCTCTTTTGAGACAGGGTCTTGCTAGTCACTACTCACCCAGGCTGGGCTCGGATTTGTGATCCTCCTGCTTCAGCCTCCTGAGTACTGGAACTATAGGCGTGTGCCACCACGGCTGGCTGCATACACTTCTTCACAGCCTTTCGAGGCAAACCCTAATTACTCCCATTTTACCGAGGAACAGCTGAGGCTTCAGAGTGGTGTAACTTACACAGATGTCCCGTGGGTGGTGATGCGCACAGCTGGAGCTTGGGTGGGACTGACCCCGGTCCTGTGTGCCCTTGACCGCTGCCCTCCTCCACCTCCCGTGGCCGTGATGCCTCACCTCTGCCTTCCTGACCCCCCTGCTTCTCCCTGGACTGGGAGCCCTCTCTGGCCGGATTGTGCCCCTCAGCTTCGTTTCCCCAGCCTGGTACACAGGATATGTGGCAGTGACAGCCTCCCAATGTGTGTTTTGTGAATGAGAAGTGCAGGGACAGGCTGGGGTGAGCGGATGAAGGCATGGACGTGCCCAGGGCCTGTCTGGCTGTCACAGCTGCCTCCCCTGTCCTGAGAGGAACCTGCCCGCCCAGAGCAGTGGGAGTGACCCGCTGGGTGCAGAAATGACGGGACTCCCTGGGCAGTGCTGCTGGGACCCGAACACAGCCCAAGCTCATCCTGCTGGGAGACCCCGAGGCCCAGTGGGCAGGCCCTGGCCCGGGTCCACCCTGAGGGGCCGGGAGGCAAGGCAGGTGCTCTACTCTTCTCCATCCTCTCTGGGTCATTAAACGCTCAGCTGAGCATTCTTGCTACTCGGCCTCTGTGTGTGCTCTGTATATATGGGCAGTGGAGCTTCCCGCCCAGCTAGAGGACAAAATGCCAAGGAGACCCATCTGCGGAGAGGCCTTCTCTGGAACAGCATGGGCAAAGCTGCAGATGCTAAGGCGGCTGGCCCAGACTGGAGTGGATTAGGATCCTCAGTCGTCTGTCTTGGGGGATTGCAGGGATGGGGTGTCCTAGGCACTTGTGGGCTTACTGCTGTCCCGGCTCGGGGCTGGGCTAGCACCAGCTATGCCTTTGGAAGCCCAGGGCACCGTCAGCCCTGGGGTCTGCACTATCCCAGGGAAGCCGGCTCGGCTCAGTCCCTCTCCAGGAGCAGGTGAGCCACGTGGCTGTGGGTCCATCCGGCTAGTTAGGAACGCAGCCTGGGTGGCTGGTGAGAGGAAACAGGAAGTGGCTTTGCTTTCTGTTTCTATTTTAAATAAAGTTACCCAAGAGAAACCAAAACTATCGCTGACCAATGGTTTTAAAGAAACAGATGGAGCCAAACTCTTCCTGTCTGTCTACCCGTCCTGGAAATTTCACTCTGAACTTTTAAAACCTACCTTTTCCCATGGAGGAAAGAAGAAATGCTTCTGAGGTTATGTGGCTCCATCTTACTTGGAGAGAATCTGTTGACAGTGTTATTTCTGGGTTCTTTGTGGGGCTGTAGAACAACATCAGAGGGATGGCAAATGCTATTTGCACCTCGAAAGCAAGGCCTCACGCTGTGCAGGAGGAAGTGAACCAGCCCCCTGCTCTGTACAAGTGCCTGGGAGACAGAACAATCTGCGGATTGAGGATTCTGAGGGGAGGTGTTTCCCATTTCCACAAGTGTAAGGGAGAAAAGTGACCGCTCAGAAGCCTGGCTGTTCCCACATTCCCCTCACACAGGCCTCAGCCGCACAAGCTCACTTTCAGCTACCGTCCTTCAGGGGCCTCTGGCTTACTCTGCAGAGGCAGTGCCCTGGGGACAGAGTCTTTGTCTTTCTCACACAGTCATTCTCTCCACAGTGCGGAGCACTTCTGTCCTCAGTACTTGCTCAAGTGCCTCTTCCTTACTCTTGAGCCCTGACTGCATAAATCCTTGGCCATAGCTTCTTTTGATGGGAAGATGCTTGGTGACCACTTCACATACAGCATGTTGCTAAGTACAGAATGTAGTTACTACCAGGAGAGGAAGGCCTGCTTCCAAAGTCTGTGGACACAGATGTCCGCTGTAGTGCTGTTTATAACAGCAGTACAGGTGGAGACAACTAGAACACCCTCAGCAGGGGTGCTGGATGAACTGGTGCGAGTGGAGGCCCTCAGCGAGGTAGTAAGCAGCTGTTTTAGTGTAAGGTAGAGACAAATGTCCGAAATGACGTCCAAGGAAGTTCAGATGGTGTGAAGCCCCTTAGGTAAAAAAAACAACAAAAAAAAGGGAGGCACACACAGAGGTGAGGCACAAACAGAAAAATTCTGGAAGGATACACAAGAAACAATACTCCTCTCCACTCCCTCAAGAACTCAGGACCGGGAGCTTTTGTCTTACTTGACTTGTCAGTGGTTAAATTTTTTTCATCATGACTGTATTGCTTTTATTTTTTTAAAACAAGAAACTAGACAAAAGAACACATTGTCTTTAGATGGTGATGTGAAGCATTAACTCTGGATGCCCTCCTCGGCGGTGGGGTGGGCAGGGGGAAGGGGGACTCGGGAGGCTTGGCTGGGTGGGACTTGGCTCTGTGCATGGGGGCTCCCAGCGCTGTCCCATGAGGCAGATATTGGGCAGGCAGGAGAAGGATGTCCCAGGCTGGAGACTGAAGCGCGGATGTCCCAGACATTCACAGACTTCCTCGCTACAGCCCTGCTCTGGAGACACCCACATCACTCCAGTGCTGACCATGTCCTCAAGGACAAACAGCTTAGGGGTGAATCAAGCTCCTGTCTCACTCAGAGACCGCCAGTGGCTCACCAGTGTTTGCTGTAGGAGTCCCAATTGGCCTTAGGTTCGAATCCAAGGGTTTCTATGGTTCAGCCCCACTTCACCTTTTCAACTTTATTTGCCATGATTTCTTTGTACATCCCAACATATGAGGTATTAGAAAAACATCTAGTGAATGTTTTAATTGAAAAATATTAAGGTAAAAGACACATTATAATTAATCCCCCTCAAAACACTTCCCCTTGCTTCAAACACACTCGCCACGTTCTGAATCCTCTTCTGCATCTTCAGTTGCGCTGCCGTGGCTGTACCACAGTGTCCCAAACAGATTCAGAGCATTTGCCTCTCACAGGCATCTTGACTTTGGGGCAGGGCCCGAAGTTGCTTGGTGCCGGGCCACGGGGGGCGTAGGTCGGGGGGCCTGCCTCTCCGCTGGGTGGTACGCAGCAGCGGCGGCAGCTGGCACTGCACTAGGGCCACACTGTGAGAGGCTCCTGAGGGCTTCCGGAGCCCTTGAGTGGTGAGGGCGGTGGGCCAAGTGTGTGGGGCACAGGGCGGGAGCCAGGGGCTATTCTGAGGGCAATTAATGGCAGTATCTTTCACTGCGAATAGGTTTTCACAAATTACCCTATATTTTGATCACATACTGGTGGCACTGCCTGGCTGGAATCCGGACTCCTATGCACACCCGTGCGATCTCGGACAAGTCCTTAACCCGCCAGGATCCGTTCCGTCATCCGAGAAGCAGGGAGATGGCAGCACCCACCTAGGCCCTGGCACGATGTCAGAACCACCAGCCGGGCGTGACCCGGTGAGAGCACACACAGGGCCAACGTCTGCTGCTTCTGTGTCCCTTGGTTCTGGCCACGGTGTTTTGTGTCAGGCACCGCCCTGGGGGCCTCCCCTCATCATCTCTGGCATCAGTGGCTCTCAGATTTCCGGGATTACCTGGGCAGCTGTGGAAGCACAGGTCCTGGACCCAATTCCTAGACTGCACGCTGCCCCCAGGTGGCCGGGAACCTGCAGTGACGGGGTACCTTGGGGTCACATGCGCAGAGGTGGGGGCTCCACTTGGGACACACCGGGCAGCGCTTTGGTTTTTCCGTGGTGCTTTCCTCAGGAGAGTGCTGGAAGCTCCCCTTACGGGCCCTCCCTGGTCAGCGTGGGCCTGTTCAGCTTTCTATCTTCCAGAAGCCCCTTGTACACTGGCCATGTGATAAATGCCTGTGAACTGCTGACGACCTCCTAGGATTTAGTGCTCCCAGTCTGCTGCCGGTGTCTGCTTTCTGCTCCTCCTGTCCCCGGCAGCGGTGTGGGTGAGCTCACAGGCTGTGTGGCCCAGCTGATAGACCACACAACCCCCGCAGGCTCCCTGGGCCTCTCCCAGGGCCAGCTTCCACCAGCCCTGTAGGAAAAGCAAACCACTGGGTTTTCTTGAACTTTCCATGTGGAAAGGAAGTGAGAAGCCTTCTCCTTCAACAGGGGTGCCACCAGCCACTGGGGAAGGCTTTAAACAGAGCCTTCCCTGGCCACTCCAGGCTGGATTCTGGGCACACGTAGTTCAAGGCAGCATCTGGGGAGGCCGTCTGGCTCTCCAGGTGATGCGAGGAGCCATGAGGTCGAGCCATGGAGGAGCATGGGAGAATGTTGTATGCTCCCCGGAGCTCTGGGTTCTAGAGAGGTGTTTTGGGGAGGTGGCTGGACTTTTACTAGGTGGGGCCCAGTGCCTTGTAAAGGACTAAGGTGTTTCCCACGAGACAGGTTACTTCATACAAGACAGTTGCTATGAAACCCTCAGCCTGGCCCCACCAGCTCTACTCCCTGGCTCAGGACATGCTTGCTCCTATGCCAGTTCCTACCAGGATGTGACTATCTGCCTCCCTCACCAGAGGCTCCACAAATAGGCTGCCAATCTTGAACTGTGAGTCTCCAAGTCTGTGAGCTAAATAAACCTCCTTTCTTCTTCAGTAGCCTGCCTCGGGTATTCATCAGTCAGGAAAAGCCGGCTAACACCGGGCCTGGGAGTTCTGAAGCTGCAGTGCCCCCTCAGCCACATTAACCTCTTGGCCGAGGGCCCTCCGGAGCCCCCCTTGTAAGGGGCAAGTGAACACAGCCCTGGAGCCTTCTAGAAGGCGAGGGGGTGGATGCCGGTGTGGTCCAGCATTCTGGAGAGAACACAGGTCCTCAGAGGAAGGGGAAACTGTCCTTGGGGAGAGGCCCAAGGGCTCTACAGGGCTAGGCTAGCCTGTTACAGGACAGTCTCTTTCTTCAGACACCTAAAGCATCCTGCCGCCAGCATCAGCCCTGTGAAGCGAGGTCTGTGTGGATCCGCCCTCAGCAGCCTTCAAAGCCCGGCTGGAGTTCTGCAGGCAGTGCACAGCTGCCCTAGACAGAAATGTTCCGTTCTGTTATTTTTTAAAGTTTCCTGAAAGTGTCGGAATCAGAATGGAGTGAACGCTCCTGTTTGTCAAGAGGAAATCCACCCACCCCCGTCCCCAACTCTGCCCTGGGAGCTTCACAGATTTCCTTGTTAAAAACAAACAGCATGCTCGTCTCTACTCTTTTTGAGAATTCAGTTTTTCCTTTAATATAAATAAGATGGCAGGGAACACCTACAGCCTCACGGCTTTCTGCTTCAGAAGCTGCCTCCCGCCGAGCTGTCTAACCAGGAGTGCAGAGGTGTGTTCCGCTGAGTGTCCTCTCGGAAGCAAAGGGGACACCTAGGGGGACCCAGGCTGGGCCTCAGCTTTGGGTTAATTCTTAGTTGCTGGGTTTGCTTCAGATGCAGCAGGAGAAGGAAGAAGAGGGGAAGGCACGGGCGCAATAAATAAGAAAGTGCCCTGCATGGGGAAGTGGACCTGAGGGAAGGGAGCTCAGGGAGGGGCAGACCACTCCTGCCCGTAGGACCTCTCACCCTGTCTGCAGCCCAGCCTCCCTTGGGGCCTAGCCCTGGGGCCGGACAGCCCGTCGTCTGGAGCTTTCTGATGGTAGGCTTGGGAGAGCAGGCCCAGAGTAGGGGAGAAACCTCTTCCTTCAGTGTGAGCTGGATATGCTGCCAGGGCACACGTCGGGCTTCACACAGGTTCGGCCTTGTCCCTCGTTCTGCCTTCCTCCCGCTCTGCACAAGAGTCACCGAGAGGAGGCTCAGAGGAGATCCCAGACGGCCAGCGAGGCCCGAGTGGGGAGGAGCCCTGGAGAGAAGCTGCAGGTTCTGGGCCGGCCGAGGGTCTTCAGCACCCACCGGGATCTTTAGGCCTGGCCCAAGCAGGTGAGGGCCGTGCAGTGGGCAGGTCCCTGAGAGTGAGGGAGGGGGCAGTGGGTGAGGGCCAGTGGACCTGAGCTGGCTTCCACAGCAGCTCTTGCTTCCAAGCCCACCCTGCCCGGGGACAGGGACCCTGAGGACAATGCAGCTACGGCGTCAGTCCGCAGGCCCGGGACCTAGGCACTGCCCCTTGCCCCAGTAACCGCGCCTCTTTTCTTAGGTCAGTGTCCACCATCTGCCCATGCCCTCCTCGACCACACTGACGGCCAGGGAGAGACCAGCTGCTGAGAGAGCAGAGAAGCAAGGGGCTTCCGAGCTGACACCCAGCACACACGTGGCACCTAGGACACTTGGGTGAGCACAGTAACGAAAGGGCAGGAGGGAAGGGGTGCCCCTGAGTGAGGAGAGTGGCCAGCTTTGTTCTCCACCAGCAAGTACACATGAGCCACTCAGGGCCGCGACTCTACTGGGTCATTTCTCCAAAGAATACAAAAAGTGGCAACCCCAGTGCAACCCCTCCTGCTGTGCACGAGGTGCTCAAGAGTCACGAATCCCACAGCGGCCACTCTTTGAGTTTTGGCTACTGACAGCTGGGGCCAAGCACGCCTGGGAACAGGCTGCCGGGCCTTAACACAGGGTCCCCCAAAGCAGCATCTGCAGAGATCTGCTGTCGATGTGAAGCGCAGATTGGACCCAGGATGCAAAAGGATTACACCCAAATCAGCACTTCCATTCTCTCCCACCCAGCGTCCGAGGAGAGCACTATCACTGCCGGAGCCATGTGATCCAAAAACACCCTGCGAAGCACCAGTCCTGGGACCCCACCTCAGTTTCCCCACAGAGCCGTCGGGGAAGCAGGCCACCCCTCTGCAGGCCCAGCTGCCTGGCAGGCTAGACCTCAGCTCCCCACCAAGCCTGCTGTCTTCCCAGAAAGGGGCTGTGGAGCCCCAGTGGGCACGTGTATAGGATGCCCTCGGATCCCACACACGCTACAAGACCACAGTTTTGGGGGGCAGGCTGGCATGGTCAGAGGGCACATGGAGGGAGTACTCTCTGATGAGCGCAGGCGCATTCTTAAGCATCTCATAGAAGGAGTCCAAGGTCCTCTGGTGGAGACCCCGCTGCAGGACAAAGGGCCGGAAGAGGTTGAGAGGCTCCGCCCTGCGCACCGCCTCCGGAAGCCCCATGGCCTCTGGCACCTTGCGGTTGCCCACGAAGAAGTGATGGAGCTTCTTCTCTAGCAGGCTCTTCTCCAGGAAGTGGAGCAGTTCATGCAAGCGTGTGTCCAGCTGCTCGGCCCTCCAGTCGGCAGCCCGCCGCAGGAGCAGGAGGTGCAGCAGGGCTGTCTTCAGGTGGTAGCGGCCCAGCCCGCTGGGGCCCGTGAGGAGGCGCTGCTTGGAGAGCAGGAAGGAGGCTATCTGCAAGCAGCTGAGGTGGCAGGAGCCCTCGGGCAGCGCCTTGGATGTCATCCTGAGGAAGTGCCGCTCATAGACAGCAAAGGACAGGAGCCAGTCAGTGCTGGAGGCCGGGCCGCCCCCAGAGGGCTCCCTGGAGAGGGGGGAGATGAGGTACAGGTCGGAGTCTTCACACTGGATCACAGGCATCAGACTGAAGGGCATGCACTTCCCCGAGCGGAACCTGATCTTGAGGGACCCTGGTGAGCCCAGCTCACTGAAGGCCAGGTCAAACTCATACTTGTGGGCAATCCGGTGCCAGGCTCTGGTGAGGGCTGTCTGGAACCACTTCATGACCTGCATGGTGTCCAGGTACGGGGCCTCTCCGGCACACAGCAGGCCCTCGGTCTCGAAGCTGGGTTGAGCCCCAGTGCTCCGGGCGTGGAGGAGACACAGCATGTCTTCCCCGAGCTTGGTCTTGCCACAGATGCAGCCTGGTTCGTCCCCACCAGCCCGGCCCACCTTGATCTGCCCGTAGCCCTGGCGGTCCAGGGGCACGGGGCGGCTGCGGCACCAGAGTTCAGGGTGGAAGCGGTAGGGCTCGGGGGGTGTGAAGGGTACGAACAGGCGGCACTGCAGCGGCCGGTCTGCCTGCCAGTTCTCGTACATGCTGTCCACGCCGATGAAGTCCTCCACCTCCATGTCCACGTCCTGGTTGCAGAGGCTCCTCAGGGCTTCCAGCAGGTCGTCCACAAAACCTTCCACGAACTCCCTGGTGCGGGCAGCATCGGCCGTGGCAGCCCGGATGCACTGGTCGTAGAAGTGGCTGAGCACGGCCTTGCTGGGCAGCGTGAGGCCTCGCAGCGGGGCCCCTCCCAGCCCAGGCAGCTCATCTTCATCGCCGCCCGGGCACTCGGGCAGGGGCTCGTCCTGGTGGTCCTGCCGCCACACCTCGATCATGAGGAAGAGGATCATGCACAGCGTGCTCCAGAGGTCCCAGGCGGTGTGGGCCTCATGCTGCTGCCAACCCTCATCTGCCACCTGCTCCAGGGGCCCCTTCTCAGCCGCCAGCCGTGCCACCTCCTCCTCCAGGCGCAGCTGTTCCAGCTGCAGCTTCTCCTGGTGGGCCTGCATCTTGAGGATGATCTCCTCCTCACTCTCGGGGATGGTGGTGTTCTCCCTTGGGAACAGTAGGGGGTGGTTGACGATGGCCGTCAGGACCACCAGACACACCCGGAAGAGCGCCATGGCCTTGGCTGGAGCTTTCCTGGACGGGAGAGACAGAGAGTTAGACCACACTTCCCTGGAGGCAGCATCTCCGCGAACCCTGCGACAGTCTGAGTTACTCTCCCACCTGGCCCCAGCTGCCTGGGTCTGCCCCAAGGAGAACCCAAGGCCTTCACCGGAGGTGGTCACCTTGGTCAGTCTGCCGGACATTCCTCTTGCTGCTGGCAGTGCCCTGCTGACTCCGGAGGCCAAACCTTTTGTCCTCCCTGTCCTTACAGCCGAGGTGTGGATAAACCTCATGCTTAGCTCCAGGGTGCGGACACCACGCAGGCCCAAGGCAGTCAGAGCGCGCCACATACCACCCAGCCACAGCCAGAGACTGGTCGGCCTCACCGAGCCAGCGAAAGGCAGAGGGGACTCGCTGGGACCACAGGGAGAAGACTTACCCTGCCACTAGGGCTGCTGGGTGCAGGATCACGCCTGCAATGCCAATGCCCCAGCCACTGGGGAGGGGCTGCCTGAGGAAGCCGACAAGAAGAGGGACACAGAGCAGACCCTTGGGCCCCGCTGTGCAGGAAGCCCTTATTTCTGGGCTTTTACAGCCGTGAGTCCATAAGAAATCCTTTTCCTTTAAGGCACTTTCAGTTTTTCCATCACACAAAATCAAAATGGCCCTGAATCAAACATGGTCTTCCACCGCCAGTGAATTCTGTCGTGTGACTGCGCCTTCCTGCAACACAGTGAAGGCTGGTGGTTAGAAAGAGAGCCTCCAAAGCTGGCCCTGTCACTGGACAGCTGTGTGTGTCTGGGGAACATAAACCCTCTCGGAGACCAAGCCTCCTGGTCCAGGGAGAAAGTGACGATGTCCCACAGGGTGATGGTATTGATGTCCCTCGCTTCCCTCAAAAGGCATTACACTTCAAATCTGATTCACTGGGAAAGAAAGCACTCCATTCCCCCAGGACAGATGGACCCTTAGGCCCAAGTGACTTGCGGAAGGGCGGAAGGGCTAAGCCCTTGTAACCCTTGCAGTTCAGATTGTGAGTCACAGATCGTGGGCTGCAATAGGCCCTGGGAGCCTGTCAGAAATGTAGACTCTCAGCCCCGGCTCTAGATCGGCTCAATCAGAACCTGTACCTTTCACACCACCCACATGAAAGTCTGGAAAGTGTTGTCTTACGGTATAGCATCCTCCCACTCCCATCATAGTTCCACTTTCAAAGGTTTCATCCAATTATAGCTAACTATGGTCTGAAATAGTAAATGAAAATTTCCAGAAATAAACAATTCATAATTTTTAAACTCCAACCATTCTTAGTAGTGTGCTAAAATCTCATGCTGTTCTACTCTTTCCTGGCCAGGATATGAACCATGCATTTCCCCGGAACATCCACCTTGTATATGCTACCGTCCTGTGAGTCCTCATCAGATTGACTATCATTCTATCACAGTGCTTGTGGGCAAGAAAGTCTGAATTAATTAATAATTGCTCCAAAGTGCAAGAGTAATAATGATGTCAGTAAAGATCTGCCAAAACGAAGCAGTGAAGTGCTTCCTTTCAGTGAAAAGATAAAAGTTCTGAACTCAAAGGAGCTCATATGCTGAGGCTATGAAGATCTATAGCATGGGTGAATTTTCAGTGCCTGAAATTGTGATGAAGTAAAAAGAAATACTTGTTTTGCTATCACACCTCAAATGGCAAAAGTTATGGCCACAGTGTGTGATAAACAGGGGTCAAGTTAAAATGAAAAAAAAAACCCCAGTAAATTTGAGTATGTATGTATATATAGGAAAAACACTATACACGTAGGATTCAATACTATCTGTGGTTTCAGGCATGGGGACGGGTGGTCTTGGAAGTATTACCCTCAGATAAGGGGGAATTCATATAAACCCTACATTACACTTTCTCCTCCCCCTGGAAGCTTGGGGAGTTACAACCTGCTCTTTCCACACCTGCCCTTCCTGCCTGGGACCTCAGCAAAGACAGCAAATGCAAATCAGAGAGCCTAATGCAAATCGGGCAGTCTTGAACACTGCTGCAGAACAAAGAAAACAGGGCTTCTCTGGTCACCCCCACCCATCGGGGGTGGGCACAAAGCTGCACTGGCCTATTGGAGATTCTGGTTAGGAGCTTATTCTCTTTGGTTGAGCCCTTGACCTTGAAGTTGTGAAATTCTTGCCCTGATGGTGCCTAGGAGCAGGGATGTGTCACTAGGTGAGGATGCCTCAGGAGGGTGTCCCCAGCAAAGGCAAGATGTGGACTCTTCGAGTTGGCTGCCAGTCATGCTCGGGCAAAGCTGCTTCAGATGTGGCTCAGACAGCTTCACTCAGGCACAGGGGGCCCTTGTCAGCAGGATTGACAGGGCTGGGGAGGGAGGTCCAGCTGCAGCGGAGCCCACGTGGAGACAAGTTCAGGCTCAGCCAGGACTGAGTGCTGAAGCGCTCTAGAGTTTCCAGGGACAGGAGATGTGGGACCGGAGACGGCAGAGCAAGTCGGTCTGAAAGGGAGGAGGGGAAGGAGCACAGAACGGGCAGCCGGGCAGCTTTTGGGCCTCAAGTCAGAGAGGAGCATGCTGGGTAACTGCAGAAACAATTGAGCCCCGTGCCCACATCAGAGAAACAGCAATGGAGGGTCCTGCCAGGCGTTCACAGCAAAACCACAAGGCTGGTTGACTTTAAAGGTGCAGAGCACCTACAGCCGAGTATCTGGGGCAGCTAGTTAGGAGACAACTGGGAAGACTCAGCTTCCTCAGGACCCTGCACCACAGTGGCCCCCTTCAGGCACAGCCCGCCCTGACCAGACACAGTGACAGCCTCGGCCACTCACCACCCGAGAGGCAGGCAGCGGCCATGCCAACTCCAGGACAGGACGCAGAAGTGCGCCCTCTCCCAGCCTGGGCTTGAGGCCTCCTCCTCCCTACCCAGCAGCTGCCCTTATGCTAGCCGGGCTCCTCCCATGGCTGGTGGGGGGTGGCGGGCTCTTGGGGCCTCCTGGTGCCAGGGCAGGCGAGGTCTGAACACCAAACCCAGGGACTAAGAGGATGAACCTGGAGGAGACAGACTGAGCGGAAACCCCACATGTGCCCGGATGGATGTGACCTCGGACACTGACCCAACTCCTCCACACTCAGGGTCACCACCTATCCATCGGGAAGAATAATTCCTGCTGCTGTAATGCGCAACACCTGCCCCCATGATGCAGTGGGAATACAGCGCACAGCTGACCCTACCTGCAGGGCTCACAACGCCCCACAGGGAGCGCTGGCAGGATGCAGAGCCCCCTCCCCAGCCTCTGAAAAAAGAAGGGTAACAAACACTTGCGGAGCCAGGAAAACAGCGTGACAAAGTGCAAGGTGCCCGGGCTGAAGACCCAGCAGCCCTGCGTCCCCTGCTGCAGGGTCTCAGGGCATCCTCAGCCTCCAGGGGACCCCATGCCTGACTGCGAGAGGAGGTCAGAACACCCCCTCCTTCACAGGGCCAACCGTGCATCCTGGGGGCTTCAGCAAAACGCCTGGCATAGAGCGGGCATCTAGAAGTACCAGCTCCTCTCCCCTGGGCTTCCATGGGCCTGTTTTCTCACCAGCCAAGCACGCCAGCCCTGCCCAAGTCCCAGGGCGTGGAGGAACACACCCTCAAAAGTGCTCTGAAAGCACAAAATGCTCACTGTTCTCACTGTTCCTGGCACACAGCTCCATCCACCCGCCTCCGGCAAGGGGGAGAACCCTGTGGAGCCCCGCCCCTTCGGCAGGTGGGGAGCTGTGGCTGCCACTCACTCACCTTGCTTAAACCATTGCCTCCTTCCCAGGATCCTACTCCAGCTGTCGTTTGCTCCTGGCTATACCCAGCCCTGGCTGGCTCTGACTGCAGCCCCAATGTGATGGGGCAGGGGCCAGGCTGAGACAGAATGCAGCTGTGGCTGCTCAGTGCCCAGTACACAGCCTGAGTCCGAGGCCTCTGCTACTTTCTCTTCCCAAACCAGGCCATGCCCAACACAACCGTGGAGGGCCCAGGTCAGAACAAGGCCTGACCTTTGGAGTCCTGGGTCTGGGACAGGTGGCTGGGAGGCCCTCACAAGCCACAGATACCCCTCACGTATGCACACATGCAAACACTCCATCTCCAGAGGCCTCTGCCCCCCACTTCCAAGGACGCCCACCTTGTTTTGCCCCAAGCTCCCCTCTACACGAGGGTGTCCCACACCTGTGGCCGGGACACCGGCTGGTGGATGCAGCTTGGAGCATAGCTCTGGGTCGTCAGTGGGCTTTTGTCTGCACGTCAGGAAGTTGACAGGAAGCCTCCTGAATTCCTCCCCACCCGTCTCACCCACAGAGAGGGGCTCAAGTAGCTCACAGCTAAACAGCCTGGCCAAGGGCTGGGTCTTGGGGCAGCAGGGGCTGGGGGGACAGTGGTCCTGAGTGCCTGGCCAGAGGCCCTCACTGAGGCCGGCCGCGAGCCCAAGCCTCTAGAGGAGAATGCCAGGTAGCTCTTTCCTGGGTCCCCAGAGTGCTCCCCACAATGAACAGGGTTGTAGATGTCAGAGCTGGGCTGAGACCCAGGCCCATCGTGTCCGCCTCTGCCCACAGAGCCCAGGTACTCTGCAGCGCTCGGCAGCGACAGCTCCAGGGCCGGCCTGGGCCGGGAGCTTGGAGACCTCAGCCATGGGTGCCGGCAGAGTCCTGGCAGAAGAGCCAGGGGGAGTTGGATGGCCACAAAGTCCCCTCACGGGCAGAATGGGCACTGGGTGTGAAAGGCAAGTGAGCGAGGGCTACGAAAACGCACAGGAGGGGACCTTATTCCTGCCCCGTGGGGTCCCCTCCTTGACCTCCCCTCCGGGAGGCGTCGACCTGCACCCCCTGGGCTTCAGCCACACTCACACCCACGCCCCACACGAGTCTAAATGAGCCTGTGCAGTCCTGTGACCTGTCTGTCACACCCCGCCCTACCACGGCCAATGCCCACCTGGGCCACAGGGTGCCCAGGGCCCGTCCTCCCCGGGAGGTGCCTGCAGTAACGCTCCCACCTGCCACTGGGCCAGAGGTGCGCATTCTCAGGGGGAGCCCAGGCGAGTGGATCAGGAGCCCCAGGGCGAATCCCTGGTGGTTCTCCTGCCCACTCACGTCTCAGGACCTCCCGTTCCCACGCCAGGTTCCCCAGCCAGGTGCCCTGGGCGGGGAGGGAGAAGGGCTGGGGCTCCCGCAGGGCCGCAGCAGGCCATTTGGGGCTCACCCACGGCGGCCTGGCGCCTCTCTCCCAATCACAACAGCAGACGCAGGCCCGGCCTGGGGTCACCTTCAGGGCCCAAAGGAGCAGCTGCTGGCTCCCTTTTTCCCCTGGAACAAAGGAGGTGGCTGGCAACAGAGGGGGACCTCTGAGCCCAGGCCTGGGGGGCTCACCTGGCCCCGTTCCCACCGTCTAGGTCCTGGGCTCGCTAGGGAAAACGTCAAGGGAGACCCACACTGTCCTGGGTCTGAGTCGAGCTCTTCTGTCTGCCTGCTCTTGTGTCGGAGTCTCCCACCCCGTCAGGAGGCACACAGTTGCCTGGGGAAAGGAAAGCCACAGACCAAGAAAGAATTAAGAGCTGAATTAACCTCGGCCCTGTTTAAACTGGAAACTGAGTCCGGAAGAGGCTGCCCGGGCACTGCAGTCATCCAGGGTGGCTGCACCCTGGCTTCCTTGGCCTCGGGAGGCAGGACTGTGGGAAAGGACGGGCAGAACGGCCTGCGCCATGCTGCTGGGGTTGGCAGTCTGGGCCCCGCTGAGGCTGGGGTCTGTCTGGGCAGCGTCCGGGTCAAAGCCGCCCCCGCCCGGAGCCCGCCGGCTGGCCCTTCTCAGAGCCACTTAGGGCTGCTCACCGCAGCTCCTGCCTTCTGTCCAACCCACAGGTCCCTCGGGGCTGCGAAGCCGATTGTCCCACAGGCCCTGGGTGCCAGGCAGGGGCTGGGCACACCACAGGCTCCCGGTGCCTCCATGAGAGCCCGCCTGGCCGGAAGTCGGAGGAGATGGCGGGGCAGGCAGGGCACCTTCCCCTCCAGGGGCGGGGGCACAAAAGCCTGGCAGGGCTTCGGAGCCACCACACCTGGGGATGGGACCTCTTTTCCCCTGTACCCGCCTGGCGACAGGGCTGCAGAAGAGGGAGGGCAGGCAGCACAGGAAGTGAGTATTGAGAAAGCAGGTGAAAAGGGCCTGGCCCTGGGCCTTCCCTGCTCAGCACCCTGGTGTCTGCCCCACCTCGTCCCAGACCCCTCCCTCCCTCAGGGCTTCCTCCTGTGCCCTCTTCCGGTAGGCCACTCTCCCTGGTGTCACAGGTTGCAAAACCAAGAGCCTCAGTGGCCCAGCCCCCAGGGAAAACAAGCTGGCTGTGCTGCACCGCTGAGAGATGGCAGCGACCTCGCTCACGGGCCGGGCCGGAGCGGACAGCCACCACACACGTCCAGTGTACCCAGCGTGCCCCACCCCCCCGCCCCAGGAAGCCAGTAGTCCGGGTTTATCAAAATCCTCCAGTCTTAAGGTGTTAGCTGCTATCTCCAAAATCCTTTAAAGGCCACATGAGCCCAGGAAGCATCAGTGGATCCCCAGCCCCAGGCCTGCAGCCCCTCACCTGCACCACCTGCCTCCACTTCCTGCCCACCCTCTCTTGGGGGGGGGCAGAGGTGCTGCCCCAGCTCTGCCCCAGCCTGCCGGGCCCTGACTGCTCACACCTGCCCAGCCAGCAGGACCTTTCTCCCCAGGCCCCGCCCTGACTCTGTTTCCCTGCCCTGCAAGAGGCCCAGCAGCCAAACTGGGAGGAATAATCACAGCAGGGTGTGAGGGCTGAGTCTGCAGCACCCCTGCACCGGGGCTGCCCATAATGCCACAGGGTTTCCTCCTTTCCCCATGGCTCTGTGGTCTAAGGGCTGTGTGCTGAGGAGTGTGGGGTTACAGCATGGCCTGCAGTCCCAAGGACAGGAGAAGCAGGGCCCTGGCCTCCCTAAGCTAGGGAAGACCTCAGATTGACCGGGGGTGGGGGGGACCATGGGCTCAGAGGACATACAGGTCAAAACTGGAGCCTGGTCAGGAGAGGACGAAGCCCCACTCCACATGCCCATGGAGGCAGAACACCAGCGAGCCGAGACAGTCCCACCCCTCTTCCCTATGTGTGGACACGGGCTAGACTCACAGGAAGTGCCCGATCATACCCCCAAAAGCCTGCTGGGAACAGGGAGAGATGCCAACCACCTCCTCTGGACCGGGGTTATGCGGGTGACCAGGCAGCTGAGGCACAGGAAGGACAGCAGCCTGGACCCTGCGATTCTGGGTGGGACAGCCACAGCCTTCCGGCCCCAGGCCTGTCTCCGTCGGGGGGAAGGAAGCCATCCATCTCGCAGGCGGACAGCATCCCTCCGTCCAGGTGCCCTGAGCCACGGGACGCCACAGGCATCAGTGGGACCGGCAGACAGGGTGGTGTCTGTGGCTTTCTTATGGGCATGGGAGCAAGGAGGGTAAAACAGTTATGGGGACCAAGAAGGGACTCTGCTACAAGCTCTGAATCCTGGCCACATCCCCTTTCCCCCCATCTGTCACCCCCAGGACACCTCATATCCAGCAGTCACCGTGAGGGGTGACTGTCACCCTCGAGAGAGGTGTCACAGTGCTAATTCCCAGGCCTGATGCAGGTGAACTGGTGTGGGAAAGGGCCTTTGCAGATGTGCCTAGATCAAGGACCTGGAGGTGAGGTCACCCTGCCTGCCCTAGGCAGGCCCTAATCCAATGGCAAGCATCCTCATGAGGAGACGGAAGCAGGACAGAGGAGGGGAGGGTGGAGGTGAGCAGAAGGTGCCCCCACTGCCAAGGGGATCTGGAGCTGGAGGCAGCAAGGCAGGATCCCCCTGAGCAGCGACGGAGAACCTTTTGGAGCATTCAATGATACCACAAGCCCATGGGGCGCCATCCCTAGGTTCGCCACCCGGCCCTGGGAGCGTGGCTCGGTGGACACTAAGATTTCAGATCGCTCGGCTGCAGGAAGGCAAGAGTTCGTGGGATTTTGTTCTGGCAGCCCCAGGAGCCGGAGGCAGCCTCAGTGCGCAAGGCAGTCTTCCTTTCCAGCCAGCAGCTGCCTTCCCCTTCTTGCTGGGGAACCCGCCGCCTCCAGCCACCTCTGCGCTGGCCTCTGCCCAGTGAGGCAGGGCTTTCACTACCGGCCAGCACAGAGCCTCGAGTCACTTCTCCTTCGCTCCCCTAACCCTGGCTCCCCCACCCCAAACTTCTCCACTTCAGTTTCTGGCTTCCATGCGACACAGGTCAACGATTTTAAGTGTGATGCTCAGGGCCTGGCCCCACAGCTGCCTCTCGGCCACTTCAGATCATGGACTGTGCCTGGCCCCTCGGTGGGCCAGGACCCTACCCAGTGTCCTCGCAGTGAGCTCACTGAGACTGTGGCCAAGGAAGCATCCTTCTTCCCCACACCGAGAGAGTCTTCCTTCCGGGAAGGGACAGGAGAGGGAGGAAGCGGACATGTTCACTAAGGCTCTCTGTGCAGGCGAACTGCTGGCACCCTGTGTGGGCGGGGCCTCTCCTTAGATGTGCTGCACACACAGGCCGCAGCCTGGGCCTCCATTCTCAGCGCGACAGCCCAGGGGCAGCCTGGGGGGCGAGGGCCACCAGCCCCATCCCACAGGTAGGGGCCGAGGCTGGGCAGTCTGCTCAAGGTCAGGGAACTGACCGAATTCAGTCATCCGCCTGGTGTGCTCCTCAGCCTTGCCCATCAGGTAGCTGCCAACACTCATGTGCCTCGAGGATGACTGTCCTACAGCGAGCTGGCAAAGAAGGGCCTCCCTAGACCCCTGGGACTTACCCCTTAGAGCTTTCTTCTTTTTCGTCAGTGCAAGGGTCCAAATGCAAGGCCTTGTGTCCCACCACTGAGCTACAGCCCCAGCCCCTCCGATTTCTACACCTGCAATCGTAGGTGCCAGCTAACCTGAGCGCTGCACACTAGCCATGACCCAGACACACCTGCTTGGCTTGGGGTGGCTGCCCTTCCCCGTGAGCCCCATCTTACCCACCAGGCACTAGGGCGGGAGAGACTTATTGGGCCCCTGCAGGAGTGGAGTGGGAAGTCCTGGGGCCCGGCCTGTCCAGGGCCCACAGCCTGCCCCTCCCCTGCTCCACCCTGCCTTCTGCACACTCCTTGCTTCCCAACAAAGCGGAGTCACAGGCTCTGAGGGGCAGACAGGACCGAGGGTGTACGGGGGTGCAGGCTCCTGGGCCAGAGCCCGCTGGAGGGGAGGTGGAGGGGCCTGGTCAGAAGCTGGAGTGAACAAAGGAAAACAAAGCCCTCCTCGGCTGCTCCCACCCACCCCCTACTTCCCCCTCACAGACCAGCTGGGGACGGACTAGGACGAGGGAATTCAAGGAGCTGCCAAGGCCTGCGCCACTTTCCCTTTGATCCCTGGATGGGAACAAAGACCGGCTCAGAAGAGCCCGGCAGAGCTCTCCACCTGACTCCAGATGTAGGGTACGCTGGGCCGGGACATCTCAGTGGCCAGACAGACAGCGTCCCCCAGCCTGGCCTCCCCTGCCCGATGTCTCTTACCCAGGTCCTGGCCACGGCCAATCCCAGCCTGTTCTTCCCACTGCTCTCAGGCTGGGCCCTGACACAAAGCCTGGGCCCCAGGGGGCTGGGGAGGGGGAGAGGGTGCAGAGGAAGGGACCTACACACACACAGCCCACAAAGATCTAAGCCCCTTTCATCATAATAAAAGGAACAGCAAGACACAAAGGCGAGGGAGGCCAATCCACTTGCCAAAAATTCAGGGCTGTGGCTGGCTTCCTCCCTGCGGCAGGGGCCTGGGCTCAACCTCAGGGTGCTGCCTTTGCACACCCGTTATTCAGAGAAGACCAGTTCTCTCCTGGCTGGAGCAGCGAGCAGAGGGCCTAGACCTGAAGGGTCGCAACAGTTAGCCAAACTGCTCCCGGGATCACCTGACTACAGAGAATGATCTGTGCCGCACAACCACACCCCTTGTGAATTACGAAAAACAAAACAGTGACGACAATCCACGCCCACACTGGTCTCCAGCAGGGCTGCAGTGGCCATGAGTGATGCCCGGGCCGGGCCTGGCACGTGGTAGGTGTCCAAATAACATGGGAGGAGCCTGTGATTAGGACACGTGTGGCAGAGCGGACTGGGGTGGGCAGCAAGCAGCCACAGACAGCGCCAAGTTCCCAAGTTCACCTCTGCCAACAGGGCAGACGACTCAGTGAGGCAGAAACAGTACAGGCAGCGACACGGGGCTGGGCCTTCGAGGGAGTCGGTGCAGATGAAAACTCAGTACAGCCGCGGCTGGAGACGCACCTGCTGGAGGCCGGGCTTTAAGATGAAGACGAAATGACCAGG